TACCCCCATCTGTCCACGATCCAGATTGCACATTAAAATCCCAAACAAGAGAATTGCATAAACAACGCAATGCAAAAAAGTGCATTTGCTTCCAAGCCATTTTTTGCATGCCTTTCAGCTCCCTGGGCAATTTGGTTCTTCGGTTGCACCAGTGCCATTCAAACCAGGCCATTGTTGCAAACCAATTTCCGTTCATAATTATGATCAAGTTAAAAAAAAAGAGCCACCAGGTTATTTTTAGATCCTGCCATAATCTCACCACGATTAGAGGGTTTTATGATCGGTAAATAAACAAGTAATAGATAAACCCACTGGAGCATGAAAGCAGGCAAGCGAGGCCTGGCTAGAGCAAAAAGGGAAAACTGGGAAAATTAGAGATTGGTAACATTGACTCCTTTTCAAAGAAGTCAATGTTTCTGACAGTTCTTCCTTGAAGATACATATATATATACACGCACACACACACACACACACACACACACACACAATTAAATACAAGGATAAATGGGTTGGAAAGAAAGCAGGCCTTCTGGACTTTGGGGAAAATAATATCAAGCAGATCCAGAAATAAACATCGGATATTTGATGCAATATTAATAATCCATATTTTGGGTCTTTTCTCCCAGAAAGAGAGACTCAATACAAAAATATTGACGTTGAACCAAATGGAAATTTGGGGCTGAAAATGAAAAGATGGCCTGAAATAGACATGGATATCTCAAGTAAGGATTTGAGGGTTGATTAGGGTACATCTGCACTGTATAATTAATGCAGTTTGGCAGTATTTTGATTTCTATGGAAGTCCAGGAGTTGTAACTTTGCAAGGTCCTATGCCTTGACTTCCTACGCATTCCAGGATGCTGTACCAGTTAAAGTGCTACCGAACTGCATTAATTCAGTAGTGTAGATGCAGGCAGAAAGGGAAAGAAGCCTTTCCTTTTCTCCCAATAGATCAGTTTCAAAGGACCACTGCTAATCTAACCTTGGGTGCATCTACAGTGCAGATTTGATGCAGTTTGACACCACTTTAAGGCTCAATGCAATGAGATCCTGGGAGTTGTAGTTTGGTGACACACTCTCAGGCATAGAAAGGACAAGCACCTTGCAAAACTACAACTTTTATTATTCAATAGCATTGAGCCACTCTCACTCTTTGGCATAGAAAGGCCAAGAACCTTGCAAAACTACAACTTCCATTGTTCCGTAGCATTGAGCTACTCTCACCCTTTGGCAAAGAAAGGCCAAGCACCTTGCAAAACTACAACTTCTATTATTCAATAGCATTGAGCTAACCACACTCTTTGGCACAAAAAAGTAAAGAACCTTGCAAAACTACAACTTTTATTATTCAATAGCATTGAGCTACTCTCACCCTTTGGCATAGAAAGGCCAAGCACCTTGCAAAACTATAACTTCTATTATTCAATAGCATTGAGCTACCCATACTCTTTGGCACAGAAAAGCCAAGCACCTTGCAAAACTATAACTTCTATTATTCAATAGCATTGAGCCACCCACACTCTTTGGCACAGAAAGGCCAAGCACCTTGCAAAACTACAACTTCCATTATTCCATAGCACTGAGCCACTCTCACTCTTTGGTACAGAAAAGCCAAGCACCTTGCAAAACTACAACTTCTATTATTCCATAGCATTGAGCCACCCCCACTCTTTGGCACAGAAAAGCCAAGCACCTTGCAAAACTACAACTTCTATTATTCAATAGCATTGAGCCACCCACTCTCTTTGGCATAGAAAAGCCAAGCACCTTGCAAAACTACAACTTCCATTATTCCGTAGCACTGAGCCACTCTCACTCTTTGGCATAGAAAAGCCAAGCACCTTGCAAAACTACAACTTCTATTATTCAATAGCATTGAGCCACCCATACTCTTTGGCATAGAAAAGCCAAGCACCTTGCAAAACTACAACTTCTATTATTCAATAGCATTGAGCTAACCACACTCTTTGGCACAGAAAAGCCAAGCACCTTGCAAAACTACAACTCCCATTATTCCACAGCATTGAGCCATGGGTGTTAAAGTGGTGCCAAACTGCATCATTTCTACAGTTTAGATGAGCGTTCCCTGCACCACGAAAACCTTTTTGAACTCAGGCTCTTTTGACGACTCCTTTTCTCTCCCTTCATCCAAACTTCACATTTCTATGAACTGTAAGTCCGTCTACACTGTAGAATTACTGCAGTTTGGCACCACTTTGAGCGGCTATGGAATCACAAGACTTTGACAAAGTCTCTCCAGCCTTTTCTGCCAAATAATGTTGTTTGTACCTCACCAAACTACAACTCCCAGGAGCCATGGTGGCTCAAGTGGTGTCAAGGTGTGTTAATTCTACAGTGCAGACCAGCCATGGGGAAACTTAGCCTTTCAAGTGTTCTGGACTCCAACTCCCACCATTCCTAACAGCCTCGGGCCCTTTCCTTTCCCCCCTCAGCCGCTTAAGCCTGAGGCTGTTAGGAATGGTGGGAATTGGAGTCCAAAACAACTGGAGTGTGCAGAAGCATGCTAGGCCCATAACCCTTCCATGCAATTAGATTGCTTCGTATCATCCAATTAACTGACTTCAGACAGTTAAGCAGGAAAGGAAAGGGAAAAGGAAAAGCAAGGGGCCTGAGGCTGTTAGGAATGGTGGGAGTTGGAGTCCAAAACACCTGGAAGAAGGGCCCAAGTTTGCCCAAGTGTGGTATAGATACACCCCTATCTCCTTTGGAAAGGCCTGAAATGGAGAGCCAAGGCAGTCAAACTCTCCCAAGAGAAAGCAAGAGGCAAGCCAGGAGTCATGATGTGGAGCAAAGATATTAAACATACATAATATACATACATACATACATACATACATATATATTCGCACACTCCAGTGGAAAAAAACTAGTTGCAAAACATGCATATCCACCCCTATATACATAGATAGAGATATAGATATATATTCTTTATTATATATTATATAATATATAATATAATGTATATAATATAATATTATTTAATTATATATTATATATTTATTTTATATATAATATTTTATATATATGTGTGTGTGTGTGTGTATTCGCTCACTTCAGTGCAAAACAACTATTTGCAAAACATGTCTATCCACACCATATATATATATATTCTTTATTATATAATATATAATATAATATAATGTATATAATATTATATATATACACACACACACATTATATATATATAATATTATATTTATATTATATATATTCACACACTCCAGTATAGAACAACTATTTGCAAAACRCGCATATCCACCTCTATATACATAGACATACATTATATATATATATATATATATATATATATATATATATATATATATATTCATACACTCCAGTGGAAAACTAGTTGCAAAACATGTATATCCTCCCTTATATACAAAGATTTACATAATATATATTAYTATATATAATATATTATATATATTAAGATATAKATATATATATATATTCACACACTCCAGTGGAAAACAGCTATTTGCAAGACATGTATATCCACCCCTATATACACAGACATACATTATATATATGTATATGTATATGTGTGTGTGTGTGTATATATATATAATATTAATATATATATTCATACACTCCAATGGAAAACTAGTTGCAAAACATGTATATCCACCCCTATATACAAAGATTTACATAATATATATTATTATATATAATATATAATATATTATGTATATATATATATATATATATATATATATATTCACACACTCCAGTGCAAAACAACTATTTGCAAAACATGCCTATCCACCCCCTATATACATAGATATTATATATATATATATATATATATATATATATATATGACATTAATATATATATTATTCATACACTCCAGTGGAAAACTAGTTGCAAAACTTGTATATCCGTCCCCTATATACATAGACATACATAATATATATTATTATATATAATATATGATATATATATATATATATATATATATATATATATATATATTCACACACTCCAGTGGAAAACAACTACAGTATATTCTGGCATATAAGACTACTTTTAAACCCAAGAAAATCTTCTCAAAAGTCAGGGGTCATCTTATACGCGGGTGTAGTCTTATGCATGGGAGTGGTCTTAACTCTATATTTTAACTGGAAAAGTTGGGGGTCGTCTTATACACCCAGTCGTCTTATATGCCGGATAATACGGTATTTGCAAGACATGTATATCCACCCCCTATATACATAGACACTCATAATATATATTCACACACGCCAGTGCAAAACATTTACATAATATATAATATATAATATTATATATATATTAATACATATATTCACACACTCCAGTGGAAAACAACTATTTGCAAGACATGCCTAAGTATCCATCCACCCCCCCTTCCCTTTGCAAGGGCCATACAATCCAAGGCTAGACAGAAAGCAAGAAGCAATAATAGCATAAGCTTGACCTTGTTCCATCATCATCCTCACCAGCCATTCCTTTACATAAGAGTCAGGAAAGAAGCAAAAACCAAAACACAGTATATAGTCCCAAAATCCTTCTTCGGAGAGGAAAAATCAAAAATATTCCAGTGATGTAAACAAACAAAAAGCAGAAAAAAATTAAAAAATTGCCAAAAATGCCCAACATAAACAATCCAAAACAAGAAAAATACAAAAAAATATATATTTTCCTAGCCATAAACAATGCAAAACAAGAAAAATACAAAAAAAATATTTTTCCCTAGGCTTTTTTCCAAACTGGATTATCCTTGGAAGTCCTTCCTTGGCTTGGCTTTCCCTTTTCAGAGGAAGGAGAGCTGTTGGCATTTTCTCTGCATTGCAAATGAAGGTTTCTGGTTGCTATTTTCCTCCTCTCTTCTGCTTTCTTTCCTTTGCTTCTTTTACTTTCTGGATCCAGGTTGAGCTTTGAGCTTCTTTGCTGTGTCAATCCACCAACACAACACAACAAAATATATTTTTTAAAAATTGCAAAATTGCACAAACCTTTTGCATTCCCTTCTATTTCTCCTTGCAGATTATTCATCCAGATTGCCTTTGAGCTTCTTTGCTGTGTCAATCCACCAACACAACACAACACAACACAACAAAATATATTTTTTTAAAAAAATTGCAAAATTGCACCAACCTATTGCATTCCCTTCTATTTATCCATATCTATTATTTTTTGCAAATATATCTATCTATACTTCTATTTTCTCCAAGGCTATTGCATATACAATGCATTCCCATTTTCCCCAACCTTAAAAACTGATATATTCCCCTTCTTTCCCCCTTTTTTTTAGTGCCACCCGAATTTGCAAATTACTTCTCAGAATTCCGGAGGGGAGGGGGGAACGAGAGAGAGAGGAAAAAAATGGAGGCGGGGCTTGAGCGCCTGCAACATTGTATCCAGGCCCGGGCAGTGACGTCACAATGGGCCCGGGCAGCACGTGACCCGGGGAGAGCGGGCCGTACCAACTGCGGCGGGGGGAGACGGGGGAGTGTAAACATCAGAAATAAGGCGTTTCTGCACGTTTTGCACCGCTTTCCCACTCAAATGCAACAAAATACTAAACTGTAATGCGTCTTATAGAACGTGGGAAGCTTCTAAAGGTCGAAGGGGGCTTGCAAGTTGCACCAACCCACCCGAGTTCCTCCCCCGAGCTTGCAAAATGGAACACCCCTCCGCTCAAATTCCGAGAATTGAGCTGTGTTGATTCTTAGAACTGGGGTTCTTAGAAGTGGTGATGCAAGGAGTTTCTAGGAAAGCGAGGAGACCAGGTGATGATCCTTTCCCTTTGCTTATTCTTATTTGGAGGAGGCTTTTGCCTTGCTCCCCATTGCAACCAGAAGAATTAATACTACCCCACCATTATATCATAAGAATATTATTTTCCTATACCATTTAAGTCCCCAGATGGGTTTGCTTGCCTTTGCATCCTCCTGTAATATTTATATAATGGATATTTATATATATATATATATTCTGCAAAAGCCAATCTCCTCCCTCTTTTGCCTTTCGTGGGATTTCTCAGAACTGCTGTTCTCCGAATTTTGCAAAGGGAGGGAAAGGGAGGAAAGGAACAAAACAAGGGAGGGGGGATTTTTTTGGGACAATTTTTAAAAAAACACCAGTGGGAGTGGGGTGTTTTTTTCACGCGTGGGGGAACATGTTATGCCTTATATATTCTGTCTCTGTGTATATGTGTATGTATTTATTTTATTTTGTTGGCAATAACCTCAATTATTTTATATTCTATCTTTAAAAAAAACACCAGTGAGAGTGGGGTTTTTTTCCACGCGTGGGGGAACATGTTATGCCTTATATATTCTGTCTCTGTGTATATGTGTATTTATTTATCTATTTATTAGCAATAACCTCGATTTCTGAGAATTGCAAAAAAAATTACAAATTTTGCCCCCCACCATCGCGAGTGGGGACTTTGGGGGGAACATGCTATTCATTAAATATTATGTGTGTTTATATGTTTACTATGCATTATATGTTCTGTCTCTGTGTATAGGTGTATGTATGTATTTATTTTTTAGCCATAACCTCGATTTCTGAGAATTGCAAAAAAATACACCCGTGGGAGGGATTATTCCGCCCCCCCCCCAATCATCGCGAGTGGGGACTTTGGGGGAACATGCTATTCATTAAATATTATATGTTTAGTTATTTATTTGTATGTATTTATTTATTTTTAGCAATAACCTCTATTTCTGAGAATTGGAAAAAAAACACCCGTGGGAGGGATTTTTTCCCCCCACCATCGCGAGTGGGGACTTTGGGGGAACATGAAATGCATTATATATTATATGTGTGTGTTTATATGTTTATGTATTTATTTTTAATAATCAGCTCTTTCATGGGATTTCTGAGAACTAAAAAAAAACACTAGTGGGAGGGATTTTTGCCCCCCATCACCGCGAGTGGGGACTTTGGGGAAAACATGCTATTTATTAAATATTATATGTGTTTATATGTTTATGTATTTATTTTTAATAATCAGCTCTTTCGTGGGATTTCTGAGAATTGCTAAAAAATCACCAGTGGGAGGGTTTTTTTCCCCCACTATCGCGAGTGGGGACTTTGGGGGAACATGAAATGCATTATATATTATGTGTGTGTGTATATTTATTTTTAGCAATCACCTCTTTCGTGGGATTTCTGAGAACTGCCTGTTCTTGGAGTCTCGGGTGGGAAGGAAGGAGGGAGGGGAGGCTACTGAGGGGTTGATTCTCTCTGTTTCGGGTGTTTGTTGTTGTTGTTGTGTGGCCTTTTTGCGCCGCGTAGGCACCCCCTTCCTTTCCCTCGCTTTGGCGGGTGGATCTCGGGGAAAATCAGGGGTTTTGGGGGGCCCACGCAGGACCCTTTGGCTTACCTGCTGGTCTCTCTCCCTCGGCGTGAATCCCTTCCTTCCCTCGGCCTCCTCTTCGGGGTTTTCCAGCCCGTGTTTCCCTTCGCCTTCGCCCCGTTTTCCTTTCGGGGAAAAAGAGGAGGAGGAGGAGGAGGAGGCGGCGCGGCGTGGGCTTCGCGGCCCGTGGGTCTCCCCAATGACACCTCCAGGGCTTGGAAAGGAGAGAAAAGCTTTCCCTCCATGATGTTGTTTTATCTATGTTTTGGAAGGAAGTATTTGACATTCCACGCGTGGGAGTGGGAGAAAGGGGTCCCCCCATGATTTCGCCTCTAACCCCCTCCAGAATGATTCTTTCTAAGCCTAGTTTCTTATCATTTAGAAGCATTATACTTTCTCGCGTGGGAGTGGGAGAAGSGGTGTCCCACGCAGTTTTGATTCCAAAAAGAGGCACCCTCCCTTCCCAACCCGACACATTCCCTAGTTTCCTGACTATCATTTCTTGGTGGTGTGTTTTGTTTCTCGCGTGGGAGTGGGAGAGGGGGTCCCCCTGCCACACTCACAGTTTCCCCCTAAAAGAGYGCCCCCTCAACCCAAAACATTGCCTATCATTCCTGGTTAGTTTCCTGACTATCATTCCTGGATGGTGTTGTGTTTTGTTTTGTTTCTCGCGTGGGAGTGGGAGAGGGGGTCTCCCTGCCACACTCACACACAGTTTCCTTTCCCCCTAAAAGAGGCCCCCCTCAACCCTATCATTCCTGGTTGTTGTTGTTGTTGTGTTCATTTTCTCGCGTGGGAGAAAAGGGGTCCCGCTGTTTCTATTTCCTCCCTAGTTAGTTTCCTGACTATAATTTCTGGATGGTGTTGTGTTTTGTTTCTCGCGTGGGAGTGGGAGAGGGGGGTCCCCCTGCCACACTCACACACAGTTTTCTTTCCCCCCTAAAAGAGGGTCCCCTCAACCCGAAACATTGCCTATCATTCCTGGTTGTTGTTGTTATGTTCATTTTCTCGCGTGGGAGTGGGAGAAAGGGGGTCCCGCTGTTTGTATTTCCTATCTCCCCAAAAAAGAGGGCCCTAACCCTCTTTTTGGGGTGGGCTCGCTTTCCCTGTCCCGAGGGAGACCTCCAAAAGGTTTCCTTCCCCACTCGTGTTTTTGGGGCACTATAGTTATTGGGACCCTCTTCCTCCTCGACTTTCCCGGGTTTCCCCCCGTGTTTGGGGTCTCTCGAGCCTCTCAGGGAGGGAACCCGAAAGTCGGGTGTTTTTCTCCCTCCGGCGACAGGGAAAGGGATCCTTCCACTCGCGTTTTAGGGGCCAAATGGGGGTCCTTAGAGTGCACCCCACGCACCCCAACATATACCCCTCCTTTCTCCGCGCTTTTCTCTTGGGTTTCCCGTGTTTTCCCCCCCAATTCCGTGCCCCCGAAAACCGAAACACGGGTTGCCTTTCTCCGTCCCGGCGGGTGGGTGCTTTCTCCTCCCTCCACTCGCGTTTTGCGGCCCAAATGGGACCCCAAGAACGGCGCCACTTATTGCAGAAGAGGGCTAGGTTGTGCTCCTGCCTTTCCTGCGTGTTTTCCCCGTGTGTGTCCCCAAATTTGGGCCGCAAAAGCCGTCCCGACGCCGGGTTGTGTTGTTGCTCCGTCCCCGGAAGGAAAGAGAAACAGGCCGCGGGTGGGAAAGGCAGCCAGGCGTCAGGCTTCCATCTCCTTCCTCTCTCATTTTGTCCACGCACAAACCACCCAAACCCGCGGTCTGAATGTTTTCTCGCGTGTAAAGCGTCCCTTTCTCCTTTTATTTTAACTTCCCGCGTCTCTGAGTTGTCTCAATTTGGCTCCGGCCCCACGCCGCGGTCTCGAGTGGGTCTCCTCGGGAGTAAGGCTTTCCCCAACTCGAAGCGTATTGTCTATATTTATTGCTTCAAGCCCTTTTGAAAAACCCCTGCGTGGGGGAGAAAAAACACGCGTGGGTTGGAGCTTAGCGTGTCGGTTGCATTCCGACGTGGCCCGAATCGGGTAGGGTGCCTATGAGACCTGGTTCACGCGACTCCTCTCCCCACGGAAGCTTGTCACGCGTGGGGAGGCCTGCGTGCGCGTGTGAACGCGCGGGTTGCGTGACTCCAGGCCGGCTGCCAATGGCGGCGCGAACAACAACAACCGAGGAGGGGGGAGGGGAAAGATTAGGGAAATAAAGGACTCTTAAAAACCTCCAAATTGGCACGTGTGAACGGCTATATGCGTGTCCGGGAGTGGGGAGATAACCGCGCGTGGAAATGGAGCCTCCGTTGGTGTTCAGCCCCAAAGTAGTCGCTTAAACGATCCTTTGAAGGCGGGTTTGCCAAGACGCGTGTCTTCTTGCGTGTCAAGTGGAGTTTTCCTATGGATAGTAAAGGAGGATTTCCACGGGGGCGAAGGAGTGGAACCCAGTGGGAGTGGGTCCGGGGTCCAAAAGAGAGAAACTCCCCACGCGCGACTTATTATACTGTTTGGATGTGGGTTTTTATGCTTGTATTGACCCTCTGAGCCTCAGTTCTCCTCTTTTTGGGGTCACTGTGTGTTCAAGAAGGACTTCCAAAAGCACGCGTGGAGTCTGGAAAATAGATACAGCTCAGTTCCTAAGACATAGATACATTTAGATACACGGATAAGTTAGGTGGAAGTATAGACAAATAAAATTGATATCTTCCTTTCCTCGAGTGAAGACATAAACACGCGTGGATTCGGGAAAATGCACACACTCCAGTTTCTATGGCTTCTGGGGGTTGCGAGTAGATAAGTGTATATATATGTGTCTGTATAAAACGACCACATTTCCACGCATATCTATATAAACACGCGTGGAGAGCGTGGTAAATAATAGCCCAAATCCGGATCCTTTTAAGATACATTGACCCAGGGGGAGTTACTCGCGTGTCGAGTCTCCATTCAGAAATTAACTCTATTAGTTCTTCTGCCAGGTCAGGGAGATAAGAGATTAGAGCAGGCGTGCCACCGCGTTCACACGGGAGGCTTGACCCGAGTGGGGCAAAACCCGATTGTTTGAATGGCGTGACCCGGGTTTCCTTTTGCGTGGGATTGGGAAGGCAGGCGGGTCCAGGACTGTGTGGCTTGAAAGAGGAAAGCAGGTGGCTATAGTCTAGTTTATTCCGGGTTAGTAAATCCTCATTAGAAACAGGGGCACCTTTGGAAGGTGAACATGTGTCTTTTTTTGGAGAGGAGAGAGTTCGGTATCTCGAAACAGGTGGCGATAGTCTAGTTTAATCCGGAATATGTTAATCCAGGTTAGTAAATCCGGATTAAAAACAGAGACAGCTTTGGGAGGTCAACACAAGCCTTTTATTGGAGGGGAGATAATCCGGAATCTCGAAACAGGTGGCTATAGTTTAGTTTAATCCGGAGTATCCTAATCCGTGTTAGTAAATCCC